GGGTAAGGGGTAAGGGGTAGCAATGGTACGAGCTCAGCTGAGTAACACAGTAATGGTGTTCAATCGGGCATGTCGCGCTGTTTCTTTGTTAAATACATCCGAACATGTTCATCAGTGTCTATCTAGCATAGCTGATAAACTCTTTACATTTGCACAATATGAACAAGTGATTTGCTTTGATAATGTTGTCTATCATATGTCCTTTGTTGCACAAGTCACACCTACTTCGGTGTGACAAGTACATCTAAAGCGATCCGTCCCCTTATATCCTGGATGTCTTCGAAAGAGAAGTTGAACGGCGGGAGAAATCCTCTTGCCAATAGTTACGCGTATGTTAGCATAAACACACCGCATTCGTTAATGTCCCGCTGTCTAGGAATGCCTGACACATTCCATATGTGGTTGAAATTTTTTGTATCTACCACCTTACATTGTTCAACTGATCTTTTGAACAAAAATCTTGCGAAACCACCTGTCACTTTCCTTGCGAATTCTTTGTCAGGGGTAAGCGAGTCGTAGTACTCTATTTTCTGGCGTCTCAAGTCCGCTATTACTAGTGTCCAATGGTTGGACATTCAAACATGGAATGGAGCTATTATTAAGTCTACGTCGCCCACATCGATATCTGTCATCCACTTTCGCACTGCGCTATATTTGTATTGCATATAGTCATCGAACAATTTTGCGAAGAAGAAGGAACTAAAAATTGTTGTTATCGGGATGCGCCATTTTCCTTCTACTACATTTTCGTTTTGTCCACTGTCACACTCGCGATGGCTTATGCGACACATGTTGTCAAGCCTAACGAGGTTCAAATAAAAGTTAACTATTTCGTTGTTCAACCATTTGCCTTGAAGCAATATCAAGCTCAAATCATGCCCAGTTAGTGTTAGTTCTTCTTTTGTTGCCCCGTTGTACGTGGATGTTCAGATCGTTCGATTCTCCACTTGCACTGAATCTCGTAAACGTTGTACAACGGTCTTCTCCTTCTACGACAACTTATTCATCGCTAAGTGGATCGTCCATCCCTGTTTGCATCTTCGTACTTCTTTTATGTTCCTCCTTTCTGCACATGACAATGCATTATGCGCCAGTGTAAGCTATCAATATTGGGGCTTGCCATATTTGCATGCCCGAAACGGCCTTCAAAATTTCAATTGCTAAATCCTGCCAACAGGATACTATATCGAGTATACATAAACACCCCGACCTCCACCCTTCCGCGTAATATGTCGTATAACACAGCTACAATTCCTGTCGAATTAGCGTCTGTTTTTTAGGAGGAGATCGATCAATGAAACTTATCGCAATATATGGTGGTTATCGGTAACCCTGCTTCCATCTGTTCACTGTTGATCATGTTCATTACTATTGGTAAAATTTTCAAAATAAGTTCATAATATTCACAGTACGCTACAAGATAGCACAACAAGTTCTCTGAAATCTTAGGTGTCATTTGCACATGACAGGCAAAGTGCCCCATATAGTGTGTTTTCATATGCCTTCATTATAAAACTATACCAAGCACGTGCACACAATTTAGTCCACACACAGAACATGCCGCTGCTAACGAGTCAACCTCTGAGTACATAAACACACACACACACACACACACACACACACACACACACACACACATCTACGTATCGATATGGGTCACCCTCTATGATCGGTAGTGCAATTTCGAGAACTGCACTGTCACAATAACACTTCCAATAACACAAGAGTATAACCTATAACGTGTAGACACCCATTCCTGTCTCACATAGTTTTYAAACCTACCGAGTTGYGGYAACACATCTATATAACCTGAACYGTGTAAACGTCCATGACCATCTAAGCARTGTCTACGCATCCACCACAACTTTCTTAATCACTGGCCTCGTCGACCGTCTCAGTTGTTGCACGTCCTTTTYGTGGTCACCTTCAACTCTTGGCGCATTGTTGTCWTCTTTCTGTTCCYTCTYTTGGATCATATCCTCGCCCGTACTCTCCGATGTCATATCTATTATGGAAATGTGTTCGCGGGATCCCTCACCTTTCGTTGCCTGCTCTGTTGTTGCTGCCACCTCCTCTTGTGGCACCTTCACCGCCTGGCTTTCATCATCCTGGCCAGCATCGGTTTCCATCATCTCAGATACGCCTTGCCTCGCCGCCATTGTCACTACAAGAGACCCAAAAGATCCAACGTTTGTTGTCTCATCGTTGACCCCCCCTGTTGGCTGCTCTGTCAATGCGCCCGACTCCATGTCGTCGCCGTCCTTGCGTATCATTGTGGAATCCCCCATTGCGCTTCTCGGAGTGCATTGTTAAGCACATGCTCGTTGCTGTTCATCCTGCACGTGACCTGCGTTTGCACGTGTGTCCATTTCGCAGGCTGGATCCCCTCTAGCAATCGCAATGATGGTGTTAGATGCGATAACGTCCTGAGTCTTCAGAGAGTTGATGCTATCGATTCCTTGTACTGCTGAAGGCAGTTCGATTTTCCAATTGATGGAGCCGTACGATACACTTGATGCAAGGTCGTAGAACTTTGTGCTGAATTCTAACTTTTTGTTCGCATGCAGATGCTCGAACAAAGCTTTCGCATTTGCCGCTATAGCTTCCTCGCTTGCACCGGCGTTTTCTTTCAAAACTCGCCGATAAATTTGCGTTTTTGTCACGCTGTGCCGTATCGCAGCGTCCTTTTTTTCCTTCGCGACCCACCCTTGGTCTCTTGTCTTCACAGCCATCTGTCACTGGCCCGCAAACACACACGGTTCGAAAACACCCTCATGCCAGAGAATATGATGACCCCAATCCTCCTCCGATGACTCTTTGTACTTGTCCTGCAGCAAGTATGGCACTGAAGGGTTTAGGGCAAAACCTTGAGGCAACGGTCTTCCTGGCACGAGCTTCGGCGTGAGTGCTGTCATATCCAACTCTTCGTCTTCATCGGTGTCCATGGACGTGAGTGTTTGTTGCTCGGCCTGTGGTGCATGTGTCGATGATGGCCCAGCTGTCGGCGGGGCCATTGCACACCTATTCTCTTCTCCCCCTGTGTTGCCTTGTGAGTTAACTATCCCTTCACTCGCACCCACCGGGTTTGTTGCTACACCATTCCTTTCTGCCCTTCCAGTCATTCTTGTTTCCACATTTCCCTCACTCGCACGTGTTGCTCCCATACTCGAACTCGCCTTCTGCGCAGGTCCGTTGGTGCTCCCTTGCGGCTCCTCGCCACGCGCTCCCTCTGCCACACCTCGTGCCGCGCGCGCCTGGACGTCCAGGTCGGAGTCTGACGTGTCTTCGTCGCAATCGATGTTGTTGAAGTTGTCGGCTTTACGTGCCAAGTCTGCATAATCCCGGCCTGGCAGTGCTCTTTTCTTCATATTGAAATACAGATGCTCACAACGTGCAACAAACATGTGGAAAGCACCCATGTGGGAGTCGTGGTACTCGTTCATTGCTATCTCGAGTTCGTTTTTCCTGATGACGTAGTCGTTATCAACCGCCGACTGTGGAGCGTCACCAAACAAGTAAGCCCACACTTTCTCCCTCTTTCTACCGAGCTTATTGTATATGTCCCGGTCCTTGCGGTGCTCGACTTGGGGTTTTTCGAACCTGCATCTGTTCCTCGGATCCTTCACATAAAAGTCCAAAAACTTGAAAAGGTATGTGAGCTCTTTTATCGTGTCGTCACACGCAAACACGTGGTATCCGCCGCCAGTCAGTTTCCAAATCAGTCCCGCATGCGCCCTGCCCAGCAGCATCACGCCGCCATCCTCCCTGATGAATAAGCTGAATAGCTTTCAGAGACGTGCAGGCTCTCGTTCCATCCAAGAATAAACCGCATCAGTGTCGCCCTCCAGGCCGATACACTCCCCTGAGCACCTCACAAACTCACCCTCTTCAATGTTAAAATTTGTCAATTCAGCTCGCAATTTCGGCGCAACCGTTATATTGTTCAAATTGCCGTTTTCGACGTGGAGGACAATAGTCATCATATCAATATACCGAACTGCAATGTTGTCGTACTTGTCCACGGTTGTCGAAGGTGTGTAGTGGCTGTACCATGACCCAGTGAGCACCTCACTATCGTCCCACTTGTACACACTCCGCATCACCGGTTTCTGGTGCTTCATCGGCGCGAAAATGATCAAGGCCCAGTTTTCGCCACAACATGTTGTAAAGAAAGCGTGCAGTTCGGATAATGCGTCATCATCCCACATAATACATTTTTGTGATGTTGACATATCGAGAATGATTGCTCGTATCTCCATCCCCCTTGCTGTACCAACAACCTCCTCGTTGTATGTGAGCACTCCCTTCGGTTCGATTTCATATGGCAGGATCGTGGTAATCCTTTTTCCCACTTCCCAAAAGATGTGACGAGCATTGGAGGATATCCGATTAACCTCCGCACTCAAGTCGTCTAAGCAATCGATCGCCTCGTAGATGAAACACTTGAGGTGGAACGGGGTTTCCTTGTACATGGTTTGGGTTGCCTCCAGCCCCGCACCGTTCCCACCATGAATCTCATCAGGACCGCCCAAACGCCTCGGCACCTTCCTCGCCTTCTCGTCAGGGATGTGGTCGCATTCCTCGGTCCATTTCTCGTCAATGAGGCCGTTTTTGCTGTACCTTTCCAAGATGGTCTTATAGAAGTCAGCGTTCCACTCTTCCTTTGACCTCCCCTCGACCTTGAAGAATATGTAGTTGAACATACGGACCATATATCTCTCACGCTGAGTCTATTTTACCAGGTCCACCATGTTGCATCTACCACGAGGTACCGTACGTGATGTCACGGTGACATCACCACGCATCATGTGGTGCAGCGCCACTTGCTTCTCTCTCGCTGTCATATCGCCAAACAACTTAAAGATTGAGGGCGTCAAGTCCGGTATAGACACCGTTGCGACTTGCGACCCCTTTCTGGCCTTGATGCAGTGGTACAAGACTTTTTTGTCGGAGTTGTCCTTGAGCAAGTATTGCCCAGGCAGTCTCCCTTCCACTTTCCCCGACAGATCGACGTATCTCACACCGTCGATTCTTGGCAATAGTCCTTTCTCGTACAGACCAAAGAATTTGTCTACCAGTGGTCATACCGTCTCGCCGCACTGTGCAAGATTCATGTATCTGCGCATCTTGTTTGTCCAGTCCTTGCAGTAGTCGTTCTCCAAGGACCAGTTCATGAGACCTGAATCATGTGTCATTTTGCAGGCGGCGTTCATGAACGCTTCCCACTTCTTTTTCCGTTCCATTCCCTCGACGTCATTCGGGGACACGGTGCCCGGAGGACGGATCCGGTCATTCATCTTATCCCCAAAATCTTCTGATTTGCCGCACAGACGACAAAAACAATCTCGGGATGGAACACTCCTCCCTCGTGTTGTCGAATGTCGAGACGTACGGATATCCTCTTTTTTTGTCGTCGTCAAAGTAGACAACGCGTACGTGAGAGTACGACCTCAAGCCGTACACTTTCTCAGTCGGTGACTTGTCCTTAATGAGTTTGTTCATTGCCTCAGCCGTGTGCTGGCCAGCAACAGCATACCAGTGGTATGTATGAGCCAGTGCGACGTCGAATTCCTTCGGTGTCATCCGTCTGCCTTGAGAGTCATCCCCGTTCGGTACAATGGGAGCCAGGATGAAAGTCATGATATCCCACTTCCCGGTGGTTTCCTTAGCCGCATAATGGATTGCATCATATATGGACTGCACCAACGTTTCGTCCAATGTTCTATGGTTGAAGAGGATGTCACCTTCAAGAATTGGCAAGATCTTCGTTACATTCACTTGAATGTGTTCTTGATTCTTCTTCGCAAACCCATCCTCATCGAACTCCAAGAAGAAGCACCGTGTTGTGTCGATGGCGTCATAACGGGTGTCGGCGGAAGGTTGTGTCAGTTCCGACGGAGCCCTTGGAGCAACCCCTTCGGCGTCCTCTCCGGAGTCACCCTCATCGACCATCTGCTTTCTTTTCAGTGGACGTTTCTCAGCTTTTGTCGTCCTGGTTGACGCCTTCCCTTTGCGGTTCTTCTTGTTTTCAGCGACCGCCTCTTGAGAAGCTCTGAGTGCCTCTCAAGATGCAGCGACAGTGAGTCTCTTTGCAGCGCGTTTATCCGTCGTCGCCGTTGGACTTATTGAAGATCGCCGCTTTCTCTTTGTGCACACTGCCCTCCGACCGATCTCCTGTTCCCTCATCGACCTCCACATCAGCTGACCCTTCTTGCCCTCCATCCTCGTCATCGCCAGGATAGGCATCATCGTTTTCTCCATCGCCCCATAGTCCCCCTCGTCGTACTGTCGAAACTCCCCGTCCTCGCATTCGTGCATAGATTCCTCACAATCCTCTCCCTCTCTCTCTCTCTCCCTTTTCTTCTCTTCGGCATCGTCCTCTGCGACCCCACATTCCTCATCGTCCACGGCATGATTACCCTGCGGATGCCGATCAACACGAATCCGAGGATCTTCCTCCGTTTCCTTATCCGATCCTTCGCTTACCTCTCGCAGGGCCGCCCTCCCGGATGCACCACCATAATTTTTCTAGCGGGCAGCAGACAGTACAATTGTCAAGGCCTTCCTTCTGTATGTAATGACAGGGGTGCCTTCGTCTTGCCGGGTGGACGGCTGAGACGGTCCTGCACATTCCCTCCGGTGGATCGATTCCACAGGAGGACCACGAGCCCCTTCGTCAGGCTGATGACGCGGCTGGGTCCGTTTGTTGCGGCGCCGGCTTCCACCCGCTGACGTATGCTGCGTTGGAAAATAATGTGGCGTCCTCTGTCTCTCTCTCTTTGCTATGCGAGGGAGATCCTCGTCTGGCGCGTCAAAAGGCACGAGTGTCGAAGACATACGATGCCCGGCCTGTGCTGTGGAACTGTTTCCGGATCTCCTGTACCCGTTCGTTTTGGCGAGGAATTTCATGGGGCCAAGCATCGTCAACACACTCCCGTCGTCTTTCGGGGAGACATCGAAGGCTTTCATGGTAATCGTCTCACCTCCATACCCCTTGAACAAATTGTAATCAAGGCTGACTTTATGGTCGACCTTCGCATGGTCCACTCCCTGTTCGTCATACACCGTTGTGAGGAAAAACCTCCTGAACTTCCATCCATGCCCGTCCACCTTCTCATCCTCGGATTTAATAATCCCTCCAACATAGAACCAGTCGTCGCCCGTGGCGGTCTTCAGAAACACAGCGGCCCCACATCCCGCCTCGTGTAGGCCCCCCACCCAATCAAGGGCCCACTCCCTATCTCTATACATTGAGCAGGTCTTATAGACTCTCTTTTTCGGGACAGCAGATGTTCCTCCTGATGGTTGGCACATTCCGAACGGAAGAACGGATCGCTTTCAGATATTAAACCTTTCACTATCACATCACGTTTTGAAGACGCCGCACCCCCTCCGATTGCCTCGAGGTGAAACGAGCGGGGGTACGGCATTTCAACAACATCTCACCCCCGCTGCCTTCCTCCCCACCGCGAACTGGCGGGGGTACGGCGTTTTCAGAACGCCGTACCCCTTCGGCTCTGTCCACATACAGGGCCTAGGGGGTACGGCTATGTTACGATAACGCCGCACCCCCGCTCCCTCCCCCCCACCGCGAACCGGAGGGGGTACGGCGTTCTCGAACCTCCGGACCCCCTCCGGTTCCCGGGAAGCGAAAGGAGCGGGGTTACGGCGTTCCGAGAACGCCGTACCACCGCTCCCTCCCTCGTCGACAACAGGAGGGGAGGTACGGCGTTTTCAAAACGCCGTACCCCCTCCGGTTCTCGGTGGGGGAGGGAGCGGGGGTACGGCGTTTCGAGAACGTCGTACCCCCCCCTCCAGTTGTCCGCGGGGGAGGGAGCGAGGGAACGGCGTTATCGGAACGCCGTACCCCCGCTCCCTTCCCCGCCGACAACCAGAGGGGGTACGGCGTTCCGAAAACGCCGTACCCCCACCAATCATCGGCGGGGGAGGGAGCGGGGGTACGGCGTTCTCGGAAAAAAAGGAGGCCTTGTGGTCGCGAGCGTAGTGTGCGCAAGCTGTATGCAGACCAAGAATTGGAGGGTGGAGACGGAGTCTGAGCTTGGATATGAAAAAAGTTGCTTGGGCATGGGCAAGCAACAAACGCTCGACGGTCGGGATGAGAATCAGAAAGAGCGATGCCATCAAGGCACAACAATCCCTCGCCGCTGCCGACACAGTCGTTTGTTCTGACATGCAGAATCGCGCTGCTGAATCATCTTCGTCTTTCGTGTACCTGTCGGGACAAGAAGACGAGGGCTTGTAGTCATCATCTTTGTGAAAAGTGGGTGTGCCGATATATGGTTGTCGTGGAAATATTTTTGTGTGCCGATATATCTCGTTTAAAGGAGTTAGCGAATGACATGGCATGCCGTCAAAGAGTATACAGGTTCGCTTGTTGTCTGCTGACATGTATCGTTTGCCTTTACTGTCGGCAGACATCTCGGTAGTGTAGTTTGTCGCGGTGGGATTTTTCAAAGTATGGATGAGGACCACGTTATAAGGAACTTTGTGAACGCATGGGGAACACCCATACGCTATGATAAATTTATTTCACATCGATACACACGGCAGATGATTGCAGTTGGTTTCCGCACCAGCGACGAAACAACTTTTTGTCGCACATTTGACCTCTGGTCTCCGCAATTGCAACGCAAGATCTCGAGGATGGCCAAGACATGTGATCTGTAAGGCCACTTTTGGAAACTCGGTGCACCACGGTGGAACAAAATTTTTTACGGATGCGGTTCGATATATGATCACTATACAACATGCAATCATGGGAAGATACTCTGCATTGCGTTTGAAGCACGCCATAGGACATAGGATGACGTTTTGTTATACGCGTATTGAGCGCCGCAAGACAAGGCACGATGAAATGCATGAGATGGACTGCTCCGTATACGACATGGAGAACGCCCTGTCCAGGCACGCCTGTCGTTTCTGTAGTGTCATTCAAGATGCAATGATACAGTTCGTAGGGCGAAGGACTTCCATCGTCGGAACAATTGTTGTGAAGGTGCTGCACACATTGGACGACGATGAAACCACCGTATAGTTGAAGAAGACCAAAACCAAAACGAATGTCGATGTCAAACACTTGTTCCGACGCATGAATGCGACACACTAACACATGCCACAAAAGATGACGGACAACACGGCGGGAGGCGTGAAAAACAGGCAACGGTTGCTAGGATATCACGAGGAATTGGACGAGGTTGAAGTAGCATGACACATTTTCTACGTTCATCGCAAACATGCTTACAGCAGTGTATATGTTGTGCACAGAAGCCGCTTCACATGGTCGTTCAAGTGGTTGGATGGATACCGACGACAGCAGCCGTAAGTGACGATTGGACGAGAACATGAAATTGAGGATTGTCGAGGCACTTCAAGTCAATCCATGGTTGAGCGTGCTGCCATGGCGAGGAAAAGTCGGGACCTGGAGCGAGAACGATTGGGACATTGCAATGATAGAATGTCCATGGGCGCACGACTTCAGATTCGCTAACGAGACGGAATGGGGATGACTCATCGAAATATGTCCTGCCTCCCTCCGGACAGTGTATATACCAAACTACGCGGACATTCACTAGATGTACGACCACCTAGATACGTATGACCCACTTGTATCTAATGCAAGTCAATAATCGAACAACGAGTTTTGCGAAGAGGACGCAACAATCTCATCCAAGTTCGTAAGAACATCACCTTGCATATGGCAGATGTGATTCCGACATGAGTTGCAAAGG